GGGTGGAAGGGTTGCCCTGTTTAGCCTTGCCATCCTCTCCAGTACCTGTAGGGCTTTGACTCTTTTTCCTGCCGCCATGTAGAAGCGGACTGACTCTGGTAGCGCCTGGGAGAAAAGTAATAGAGATTATCAACATCAAATTACAGAAAGAAAGCACAAATTACAGTAACAAGTGGCAATATCAGAACACCGGGCACTTAGTCTGAACATACGATGAGTTTGAATCGCACGTCTGCATATGCTGCATTTAAGATAGCCGTTTTAAAATTGACGAGCTAGATTGTTATAGTTGTCAAATAACAAAACAACAAGATAGTCAACCCCTGGCCCCCTCAATGTACTCCATACTGATTACCTTGAAAAATATAAGGACGAAAAACCCCGGAATGCAGGAGAACACTATGAGGTAACGCCACCCCAGCGTCGGTACCACCAAGTACGCCAACATGATGACGCCCGATCCGCCTAAAGACCAAAATATCTGCAAAAACAATTGGTGTCAGTCTTGATACAGCGATGAACAACACAAAGAGGAAAATTTGATTGACAACATATAAAACATTTCAAGAATGACAAACTTAAGATATTCTAGTGTCCAAAAATTAAAACATGACACATCATGTCAAAGTGTTTCTGTTTAACTCACTGTAGAAAAAAATCAGAAATCTTGATTTGATTTTAATCTTATTTGAATTGTGAAAGTACAATACAGATAGAGATGTTCAGGCTGTGTTTATAATCACATACGGCGTAGATCAGGTAGGCCTTCGCTCTGTACTTGGACGGCATGAATTCCATCAACAAGGTATCCCTGAAATGGAAGCGTAAAACATGTTGTAAAAGTGTGAAAAACTTTACAAGCTAGAAGATGCAGCTCTATTGAACATTTACGTACAGACGTAACATGAACGTCATTTTACGTTTACGTTACCCTTACGACGGGATCCATACATACATCTGCGGCCACCGGCAACGTTACTCCCAACATGGTCCGCAGTATGACCACCCAGTAGTAATTCGGGCTGAACGCCGTCAGGAAGTTGAAAGAACCATCCCAAGGCCACCATCCACAGAGCCTGGAAAGGCGCAGGGAGTCATGTTTGATGTTGAAACTGATATTGGGTGATATTAAATAGTTTGACAATACAAAAGTAATACAAAGTAACGGGGTGAATGTTATCTCTGGTAGCAAGATAAACACCGTTGCGACGAAGCCCCAAATACAAATGTATAAGGCGCATATCAGATGAGATAT